CCGTGATAGGCGGGAGAAAAGAACAACTTGAAGAAATGGTTAGTTTTTTATTTTTTTTTTGCGTTTGCTTTTTAGATACAACAAGAAGCCTCTGAATCTGTCCACGAACTCTATAAACGTACAGTGCATGGCAGAGAAGGATGACGTCACCATTGTGGAACTGACCGTACTTAGGGCATAGTACTCACACTAGCACTTTCCAGAATGCCTCTGACTGCAATTGCGTCGTGAGCTACCACTTTTTTTTTTTTTTTTTTTTTTTTTCCCCGCCACGGATCTATTCAATCTCTGCCCATGGAATTCATCTTTTTGTCTTTTCCTTCAGCCTGACTGGCGGGCCACGTGAGTGAAAACAAAGTAAAAAAAAAAAAAAAAACGAGGTACGAAATTCGAAAGAAAAACTACTCACGGCTTGCTTTTCGTTCCATCAGCTTGCAGCAGGTCCAGCACAAAGAGGCCAGTACCCGCTCACTTCCAGGCTCGRCAAAATGCATTTTTCGGATATTCAAAACAGGTCTGGGTGAACTGGTGGTTTAACTGTCTGATGTTTTCAGTCCCAAAGGCGCAAGTAGGTGGGGTTGCTGAAGTGTGAAGAAAATCCGCTCAACTCTCTGACTTGAGGCCCCTATGGCAGAAAACAGCACTGAATCTTTCTCTGGGGGTAGGGTGGTTGCTTGTTTCTTCTCCTCCAATCAATGGAGATCATCTGCTGCGTAACATCCCAAAATCAAAATTTGAAAAGTCGGAGTTTGTGGTGGTATTCCATCTGCTGCATAACATCCCAAAATCAAAATTTGAAAAGTCGGAGTTTGTGGTGATATTCGGCGGATACATATGGGCCTCTGAAGATGACAGACATCATTCCTCAGCCTCGAAATTCCTAGACCTATAAAAATAACGCTTTTTTCCCCCCTAATGGCCAAACCAATCTGCTGCTATCTTGGTCCCCCTGAAGCCCTCAGTTACGATTGCACTGAAAATAAAGGACTCGTTCCACAGGCGGGAGTGTGTGGCAAAATAAAGCCAATTGGGAGGCAGCCAGGGGTCTACTTGCAGTGGCATTATAGACAGTAGGGTCTACAGTTTCTTTGTGCCCGACACAACTGCTAAATGCGAACCGTTGATTCTCCCTCCCTGTGGCATATAGGGAGGGTGGATGTGTCCTTCGAGACATCCGTTAAAACTTAAAATTGAAACGATACAGAGAAGATTAGCATGGCCCTAGTGCAAGGACAACATATGTAAATCGGAACTAGTCCAAACTTTTGAGGGGAAAAAAATTGAGTAACAGGGCTCATGCAGGCAAGAGAGAGAGAGAGAGAGAGAGAGAGAGAGAGAGAGAGAGAGAGAGAGAGAGAGAGAGAGAGAGAGAGAGAGAGAGAGAGAGAGAGATCTGATTCTCTCAACTCTGGCAAAATATAAAAGCCAAATTGAACTTGACTCGTAAAGCTCAGGAATCTGGGAGCGAGAGGCATGGAGGAGGATGGCATAAACCGACTGAAGCTCACTGAACTGATCTAAAGATTCTTAACGCACGACGATTCCAGGAACAAATGAATTCCTAGTTTGCGCTCAACTATGGCGAGCACGAGTGAAAAGGATAATAGAATGCATGAGTTATTGTATACTGGAAAAAAGCTTTTGTGTCGGCGTTGTTATCCTCACCAGGTTCAGAATCATCTCCCCTACCGAAAAGGCGCAGGGAGGCCGGTCGCTTTTTTAGGAGGGTTTCGTCGTTGCTTTTCGATGCACAAGGCGCTAGCACAAGGCAACTTCCGTGCTGCCGCTGACCATGGGTATATGTACCATGGTTGAGTGAAGGTTGGCTCTGGAGGAGGCACCCAAGCTGAAACAAAGGTCCCAAAGAGTTGGAAATGTAGAAACGGAACTCTGGTGCCAAACCAACTGAGGGACAGTCTTGGAAGTTACCAGGGTACCGGGGCCCCTGCCCCACTAGCGAGGGTTTAGTTTATGTTTTGCGTACGCACGGGCTCCTGCCATCCAATCTGAACATCGCATGTCTGCACTGCGGCCACGCTGAGAAGTACTCGAAAGGATGGAGACATGGGGAGGGTATATTATACCTACGTTCCCAAGCTGCTTTTTTTTTTTTGTGTGTGTGTGCGTGGGGGTATATCATACTGAAATGATAGTAAAACTCTTGGGCAGAAGGCCATAGGTACCAACCACTGTCATCGATCTGGCCGTGCAGGTTGGCTAGGTTCTCGACTAACTTGGTTAGGTCCATCGAGCTCCAACGGTCTTCTCCTGAAAAGAACGCCGGGTGATTATTGCTGTGACTGGGCAATGCGGGCATCCTATTCAGGTGAAGACGGTAGTTGATGGCCCTTTTGGCTTCACCAGTATAACCGCCTCTGGCTTTGGCAGGCCTCAAAGATTGTAGTCCTACATAAGAAGGCTGTGGACACCTTCAATAAATGGCTGGCCATTGGGATACCATGTCGAGGCTGCGGAGACCATCAGTAAATGGCTGGTCATTTGGGTGCCAGCCTGCCTGTCCGATGGACCTAAAGCTGAAAAGTCGGAAACCCGTGTTTGACAAAAGTGGCTTGGGGTAGTGGTTGGTAATTTAGCTGCTGCCCATTCAGTTTTCAGCACTGGGGGGTGCCTCCTTGAATTGGCCGAGATGTTGAATGGCTAGCCCACCTTCAGACTGTGTTTTAATTTTTAATCACAAAAAGTGGATTGAGTGAACCCCACTCATGCTAAGTTTACCAACCACACCCGAAGAGGTCAATTTTGAAGCCGTCCATGGATTCCTCTGATTGGTGAATATTGCGGAAAACGTTCCAACAAGCTTCTGTGGGAGGCAAAATAGGGGAACCTCTTCAAGAGAGAGAGAGAGAGAGAGAGAGAGAGAGAGAGAGAGAGAGAGAAGTTGAGGTGGGGTTAAAATGTTGTTGTGCCTTCCGCAGCGAAGGCGTTCTGCCACTGAGGATTGTTGCCCCAGCAGAGGAAAGTTCAGAACACCATGATGAGGGAATGACCTTCTTCAGCTGAAGCAGGTGCATCGCCAATATTCATTTCAGGAAGAAATTTCAGTTTCGTACTTAGTGTCTCTTTACCAAGTTAAGTCCTGCTCTGCACATAGTCGTCTTCCTCCAAGCTAGCCCTAGCTATGGTGTTTCTGCGCCAGCTTCTTCCTCGATCTCCCCGACCAGTCCACCCGTATGGTCGCACGCGCGTTCAGCAGAGCTTTCACAACATATGAATTCATGAGTGTGTTCTTGGGAGCACTGTAGCTGAGTTGAGGTTTTTCTCGGCTGTCGGCTGCATTTTTACGAGTTCTGGAACCCACCAGACTTTCCCAGGATGCTGCTGCCAAATTTGGACTGGGACTTTGGACTTTTCTTGTTGGGTACCAGGCCTACCTGACTTCTAACGACTCTAAATTTTCTGTCGGCCTACTGGACTACTCTACCGACCTATGGGATCTCAGTACGGCACTTTGGCTGCTGGGCCTGCCGAATCGGTTACGTCCGTAGGACTGGAACCATTGGGACTCTGGGACCAGGGCTCGGGACACTTGACTGTGGTGTGAAATCCTTTCAAACACAGCGCTTAATGGCGAGCAGCACTTGAGGGCACTGCTCTTTGCACAGGAGTTAATGGCACATCGGTCTTGCCTCGGATCGTATGTGCAATACACCGCAGAGAATTGAACCAGTGATCTCTCTGGCATACTGCATTTGTTATCTGCTTTTCAAAAGAAGAGCCGTGCCGGGCAGGGCTCCCAGCACATCCCTGCATGGTTGCACTCACCTATCCAAGTTTACGACATCACTTGGAACCGCCGACAACCTTCTCCATGGGCCTTCCTGTGATGTTTTGAAGTTTGAGCCCATGTTGACAGAGGCACAGAATCTTCATGGGCATTTAAGCAACTTGCCGCTTACTGAGCTGGTGACTCCGGATGCAAAATCGGAGAGGGAGGGGGTGGGGGGTGGGTGGAGGATGGGGATTGACTAAAGAAACAAAGACAAAAGAAAAATCAGTGCCCAAATCTTGCAACAGACTAAAACAAAAGTTCCCAAGATTTAGCAGACAATGCGCCTGGTGTTTGGTTATTTTGCATTCATTTTTTTTTGCGTCTCCTGAAGCTCTGTCGTCGAGTGATACCACGCCTAACACTCGGCTGTCAACTCCCTCCCTTCCTCCCCTTTCCTACCAGCTCCTGTAGTGTGCCCGCCCACCTGCACATATCCGCGTATTCCAGGCCTGTAAATGACTCATCGCCTAATGCAGCCCCTCAGACATTTCAGGCCAGTAAATAACCCATCCTGTAGTGCCCCCCCCTCACCCCCTCACCCCCGCCCCCCAAACCCCCCCTTACATACTCACATTCCAGACATGTAAATATCGTACACACCCACCAGCTGTGTATTGTTCAGTCTGGAGGTAGGTGTGGTTGTTGCTGTAAGTGGGAGGGAGTTTATGCCGAGCTACTACTCTTGCGAATCGGAGGAAAATTTTGGACCGGGGGGCTGGAACAGACATCTTTATTTTCATCTAAATGCTCGTTCAGACAAAGAGGCTTGGAAAGCGAGACCTTGTTTCGAAAGTTGGGCTGATGTTGCTGCTGTTGGGGTTATGGCTGATCGTTGGGGTTATGGCTGTGTGGGTGTGTAACATATTTACACGTCTGTTTTTTTTTTTTTTTTTTTTTTTTTTTTTTGACAACAGGCCCTTGTACAAGGCCTCTATCCTGGTGGTGGTAAGAGAACCACCGGGATTGAGGCTTTGCCTGGCGGGCCGCTCCGTCTATTGGTGGGGAGCATCACCTGCTGGGAACCGGGCCCAGCGTCCCATAAATACATCTGATCAAAACAGTACATTTTTGAGGGTGCCGCCATTGGGCTGGAAACCGGGTCCAGCGTCCCCTGCTGCTGTTGGGGTTATGGCTGATCGTTGTCTACCCGGTGCTTACTGGTCTTCAACTTTTCATCCATGCGGATGCGGCACTTGATTCTCGTATGCAGGCTGCTGGGGTTGCTGGTTTTGCAATCCAGCTCATCGTTTGTTCTACAATACTACACCGAACTGATTGAGAAGCATTTGGTGATCACCCTCTTCCTCACCATGCTTGTCGGCGCTGGCGGAAATGCAGGCAATCAGGTATCCATTCTCTGATCCAAAATTCCAAATTATTTTCCTCAAGAGTCATGTCAAGCGTTGACTGCCAGTATTCAGTAGACTCCTGCTCTTTTTTTTTTTTTTTCCTTCTTTTTGAGAATTTGGGAAATCAAAAGCTCAGGAGTCCAACACCTGACATGATTGCCCGACTCCCGCTCTTTTTTTTTTTTTTTTTTTTTTTTTTTTTTTTTTTTGGAATGGACCATTTCTCGATTGATGTGTGTTGTCCTTGCGCAGGGGCCATGCTAATCTTCTCTCTGTGTATCGTTCCAATTTTAACGGATATCTCCCGAGTGCAATCAGACTTGCTTTCATTCACACTTTATATGCATGCAAACAGTAGCGCAGCAAACTGGCGACATGCGCCCACTCAAAACTCAGAGATATGGAAACCCAGATACGAGTTCACTTTCAATGACTATGGCGACTCAGTGCCCAAACAACTCACCGTTCGCATACACCGGATCACCCTGGATATCCCACACGCGTTACTCAGCACTCACACACACACACACGCTACACACTAACTCTAGCTATGGCGGCTATGGCCGCAACTACCCTATCGCTATGCTACACTTCTTCTTCTCTCGCCCACTTCGGCTCCGGGCTCACTGCAGACCTCCTTGCGCAAGTTGCTGTGGCAGCGCTTCCTCATGGCTCACGCAGGAATGAATGAATGACTGGGCGCTGCCTCTTGATTTATACTTCTGAAGCTCGTTGGTCTGCCCTTTTCCATCGGGCCATGGTGCTCACAGTCCCTCGTGGTACTTGCTGGACCGGACTGGGACAGACTGGACCTTACCGCTGACTGAATGGGAACTCACTGCTATCCTACCGCTATCGTACTGCGAACGTGCCGCAGTTGGTCCACCACTTGCCCACTTGCCCACTTGCTTGACCTTCTAGAAGGACTACAGCTAAGACTTCTGGAACTCACTAAGACTTCTATTCTACAGATCTACAGATTGAACCCCTGCTACCTACGGACCCTACGACAGTCTACTAGCTGTTACAAATACACAGGTCGTGGGTTCAAGCCTCGGGGTCGACACAGATACTGTACACCGGTAGGGTAAGGGCTAGGGATCGAGCCCTGGGGTCTGCATCTGCTACTGCAAAAAGGTGAAAACCGTTTCACTCCCGCCGTCCTAAATTCGAGGTCCTCCGAGAATATTTTAGTCCAAGGAAGGACCTTTACCCTTCTTATCACGCTCATAGGCTCTAACTATGTCGGGAGCTGTTTCTAGAAGTTCTGTTCTAGTAAACCAGCGGTCGTCTTTCGGTTCCTGATAAGCAAACCGGACTTTATACTGTTTCTGTGGACGACCTCTACCTCCTGTCCTAAACACATCTTCACCTACAATGCCGTCAGTGTCATATCTGCCATCCATATCCGGAGGGATCATGGATCTTCTTGAAGGGAACTGTTGACTTGTGACACGGCAACAACTTTGAAGCATGGAACACCGGGTAGGTGTGGAGGTGTGCTGGAATTTCTTCAGTGTAGGACGGTCCATCCTCTCCGCCCTTGACTTCTAGAACCGGCCACGGTCCTCTATATGCAAGCAGTAACTTCTGCGAGATGTTCTCCTCAGGCGCAAACTCTTTAGACTTGACCCAGACCAGGTCGCCTACCTGAAACTGCGATGGGCGACGGTGCTTATTGGCCTGTTCTATCATGCGGTGCTGGGCCTTCCTGAGGTTCTCAACAACAGTTGCTAGCTCTCTCTCGTGCTGTATTGCGAACTCCCTGGTTCCGGGCAGTAGCCTGTGAATCTGATCCCGGGGTAAGTCCCTCAAACGGTCTGCGGGGTCTAAAGGACTTGTGCTTTGTTGGGAGTGCGACAGGTAGACAAATGCACGCTGTTATTGTATGCGCTGGCTACCTTGGGCAACATCTCGTCCCAATTGACTTGATCCGGTCTAATATACATGCGCAGAACTTGCTGCAAGATCTTGTTCATCTGTTTTGTCTGACCGTTAGTCTCTGGATGACGGCCAGAAGACATTAGCAACTTTGATCCATAGACTTTCATGAGTTCCTGCTAGTTCTGGCTGGTGAAGCGGGTAGGCAAAGGAACTCCGTGATTGTTGATCCAATTATCAAAAAACTTCTGAATGACTAATTTCGTACGTGCCTCTGCAGGCAAAGGAACAAAAACTGCACATTTACTGAATCTATCGACTATGACCATGACTTGGCTCTTGCCGTGTCTACTCTTGACACCGACATCCATAAAGTCAATGGAGACTGAATCTCCAGGTTGGTCTGGGATAGGCAAGGGTCTGAGAAGACCTAGAGGGGAACGCGTAGTGGTCTTGTTCCTTTGGCAAACTTTGCAACTGCGAACATACTCTATGCAGTCAACTTTCATTCCTGGCCAGGTATATGCACGCATCAGATTGGCTAAAGTCTTCTGCCAACCAAAGTGTCCCTCTGTGTCGTGGCATTCCCCTAAGATCAGACTACGGATCTCCTCACTGTTGGGAATGCACAGGCGGTCTACTACAGTAGTCTTCTCAAACAATAGTCCTTCAGTAGTACGGTAGTCTGGTTCGGTCTCTGGGGCCTCCTTAACCCTCTTGAGGAGGTCACTATAGATAGGGTCCTGCGCATATGCCTGTCGGACTTTCTCTTGCAGGTCCTTTCCTATGTCCAGATAGTGCACTTTAACTCCAAAGTAGTCTGATCTCCAACTTAGAGCATCCGCAACTACATTGTACTTGCCTTTGATCGGTTTGAGCTCAAAGTCATACTGGTCTATCTCAGCAGCCCACCTAGTCAACTTAGGTGTCATTTTGGCCTGGGTTTTTAACCATCTAAGCGTTTCATGGTCTGAGTATACTTTGAAGTGCCTCCCAAGCAGGTAATGCTTCCAATGCTCTAAGGCCTGCCTGGGAGCGTATAGTTCTCTCTCATACGCGAGGTGGCTACTTTCTCTGAAGGCATCCTCGCTGACATGAACTCTATGGGTCTATAGCCATTGCTGTCATCTTGCTGCAACAGGGCGCCTATACCATACTGACTCGCGTCCGTGGTGACGACAAATGGTAAGGACGGATCAGCTACTTTGAGGACAGGATACTCTATCAACGCGCGCTTTAACTTCTGTAGCGCAGACGTACAATCTCTATCCCATTGCCAGATTGCCTCTTTCTTAAGCAACCTGCGCAAGGGGGCGGTGATAGTAGAGAAGTTCCTCACGAACTTCCTATAGTAATTAGCTAGGCCTAAAAACGACCACAACTCTGTCAATGTGTGGGGCGTCGGCCAGTCTCTAATCGCCGCTATCTTGCTGTCCTATGGTTTAATGCCATCTCCGTCTAACACGTGGCCCAAGTACAGGACTTGTGTCTTGGCCCACTCGCACTTCTTCGGGTTGATCTTGAAGTTAGCCTCTCTTAGCTTCTCCAAGACCTGTCTCAAATGACCCTGATGCTCTTGGAGGGTCCTGCTGAATACTAATATATCATCTAAATAGACTACTACGAACTTATCTAACCATGGTCTGAATAGATCATTCATACAACGCTGAAATGTAGCTGGTGCGTTGGTTAGTCCAAAGGGCATTACTATGAACTCATAATGCCCATAACGAGTCCGGAACGCAGTCTTGTACTGGTCATTAGGATGGACTTCTATCTGATGATAACCGGACTTTAGATCTATCTTAGAGAAATACTTGCAACCCTGCACCCGATCTAAAAGATCGTCTATCCTGGGCAGTGGTTCAACACTCTTCACTGTGATGGCATTCAAACCCCTATAGTCTATGCACATCCGCAACTCTCCCTCTTTCTTGGGGACAAACAGAACAGGTGCTCCAAAAGGAGACGAACTGGGCCTGATCCAACCTTTCTCCAGGAGCTCGTCCAACTGCTTACGTAGCTCCTCTAACTCTTTAGGGGACGTCCTGTAGATTGCTCCCTTAGGAGTTCTACTGCCAGGCTCAATTTCTATTCTGTGCTGGATCGGTCGCGACACTTCTCCTGTCGGCGACTCAGTCAAATCCCTGAACTCCTCCAGCACCTTGGCAATGGTTGGATCCGTGGAACTATCTCCTTCCTTAGGCTCAGTGAGAGGTCTAGCATATACTACAAAGACCTGATCCTCTAACTGCTCCTTTTTCACTAGTCGCGCGAACGTGGGAGCGCTGAGACAGCAATGTGCCAAGGTGTTGTCCACGCCTGACACATGAAACAGGCAGGCAGTCTTAACCTCGCCTGTCGGACTAGGGAGCCTACACTCATGCTCTCTCAAATGGAGTGTGGCCCCGACTGCCTCTCCCCAATCCATTCCTAATACTATATCAAAAGGAAGGTCGTCCTGCACGAGGAGAGACAGGGAATGGAGAACTTTCTCCACCTTCCCATCTTTCTCTAGGCGAAAGTACGCCTGGACTCCCTCTACGTAGTCCTCGACACGCATTGTGCGGTTGTCTGCGAGGACACTGACTATGGTGTCTGCCAACTTTTGGACTTTCAATCCTAGCCTCAACTTCTTCAGCGCCCTACGGCTAATGTAACTACAGGTAGCCCCTGAATCTATAAGGGCCCCTACTCTACTCCTGAACACTTCTACATCAACTCAGATTAGCTGTCCTTTACTCTCCTTCTTCATTTTGGCCCAGGCTGGCATCCTCTCTTTTAACTCTTCTGCCACGCGTGTGATGGACGTGCCTAGAGAGACGCTGACACAAGCAGTCTCTGGACAGCTAACTAGGCACGGGCCTGCAACCTCTGCCATAGACTCATGTGGGTTGGGAATTACCTGTTCGCGCACGCTTGCTTCCCCACATGGCCTTGAAGTAGGGGCAATTGCGACCTCTACTGGCGGCTGCCTTTTGACTGTTGAGCAGCCCATCGGGCCTGTCTATACTTAGGACAAAATTTGATTACATGGGTCGAGTCACCACAAAACACGCACTGACCTAAGTCCACGCGTTCCTGCCATACGCGCTCGTCCAAGCCCAAATCTTCCC